TGATTTAAAAAAAAAAAAAGATGATTGACTGCAGAAATGCCCATTGTGGGGGGACTTATAGGACCCTAAAGGCATGCATTATCTGAACAGGAAATGTCTCGGAGTAAGTGAATGAGGAATATTCATAACACGGCGATCTATGCAGATAGATTTTGCTTACTGACTGCTTTGGTAGCAACGATTCAAAGAAGCAATCTCTCCCTTTTATGCTGGGTGCAGCAGCACTTCCCCAAAAGATGCTAACCTCCAGTTAAAAAACTCAGTAACTGACAAGACAGGCATGGGGAATGGCCTATAGTGGAGTGTGTGTGTGCGAATCTCTTTGTGTTCGGTGTGAGAAGCTGGAGTTGCAGAGGCTGGCAATTTGGAAGTTCAGAGCAGTGCAGCATCTTTGAGATAATCACCAGGAAAATCAAAGAAGAGTTGTCTGACCACCTGGTGGAGATGGAAATGTGGTTGGATTTGTGGGCTTCAGGATGCTGCTTTTAACTAGAGCAGTGGTTCTCAACCTTTTTAATGCCGCGACCCCAACCGGTCGTAAGTCGAGGACTAAACCGGTCGTAAGCCGAGGACTAAACCGGTCGTAAGTCGAGGACTAAATCGGTCATACGTCAAGGACTACCCTACCCAACCGGTCGTAAGTCGAGGACTTTCCCTGCCCGGGAGCGCCGTGCATGCGTGGTTCCGCCCCCTGCGCTGGCCAAGGCGTAGCTGGCAAGCGGCAGAGACGGAGCAGGCCGACCACCAGCTGGCCCAGCCCAAGGGAGGTAAGGCACCCGCCGGAAAAGGGGAAAAAATGGCGGACAAAAAAAATGGCGGACAGCCGTGCTTGGCGACCCCCGTGAAATGGTCGATCGACCCCAAATGGGGTCCCGACCCACAGATTGAGAACCACTGCAATAGAGGCTTCAAGCAAACTGCAGGCACATCCCTAATCAGCCGGTTAGCAGTTGGTAAGGACTTTTTACCATGCCTTGTGGACTGATTAAAAAAACAAAATACTGGATGCAAACCCATACATAATAATGCCAAAGATACTGCAGACTATCATTATGATGAAATCAGATTTTTTTTCTATTGGGTTTTATGAATGTCGAGCCAGAAAAGAAATATGGAAAATTAACATTGTAAACGTAATTGTAGCAAGATTATTTTATGCGCAAAGGGGGAGAGCAATTCAATCGCCTCAGTGGAAGACTGAATTATAAAATTGACTGAACTTGTGGAAATGGGGAAGTTGACCAGTTTGGTCAGGGGGGAAAAAATGGTTTTATGGACTTTTATGGACTTTTTCTTGAAAGAAGATTGAATTGACGATTTCTGGGTTGGGGGATTAAAAAGGAACAAAAAAGAAGGGGAAATAATAAAATGGCAATTACTCAGTAGAAAGAAGGGTGAAAGGAATTAACTGTTTTCATTTTCTTTATTCTTTCTTAATCCTTTTTTGTTTGTTTGGTATTGTTGCAGTGCTCAGGATCTAAAGGTTCTTTTGCAACATGAGGATAGCAGCAGTTTGGGCAGGGTTTTCCCAGACAGCAACAGTAATGACGGCTATAAGGATGGAGCTGTGATTGGATTCTTGGGCTACAGCAGGACTGTACTAGTAGCAGGATGTTGCTTATCTGATTGTTGGGGAGCT